AAGACCCTCTCTTATTTTGGGGGAAACAGGGTACCTTCTAGGAAGCTGTGGGAAAACTTAAAAGCACCTGTCCCCAAAGACTGTTTTAATGCTTTGGATCAAGTTTAGTGCTTTCCTGCTTATTTCTTTTTCTACCAAGGAGAAAAATAGCAAAATATCTCTTCTTACAAGTAGGTTTTTGACCAGAAACTTCTTTTTATTCTCAGCGAAATGGTGAACTATATACGAACCCTTATTTTCTTTGCAAATTCCTTCCTGTTTTTGCTTTGTTTCATTCCTCTGTGTGTTACAGTTCAGTGTTGTCTTTTCAAACTCAGTGCTTAATTTTGGACATTTGTAAAGTGGGTTATTGGTTGCTTGAATAGGTTTCAGTAAGTGATGAGTAGGAACAGGGATTGTAGGAACTGGAAATCTACTAAAGCAGAGGTGTCTTCATGAAAGTCTGTAATACTAGAACAGCAATGGCGAATCTATGGCATGCATGCTGCAGCTGGCAACCAGAGCCCCATCTGTGGGCACGCGAATCATAAGTCATCATAGAGAAAAAATTACCTGTCCCCCGATCCTGGATTTAAGCACTCCCCTCTGCTGGTGCAGTGGTCCAGGGGAGGAGTGCAATGGGCGGCTATTACCAGTCTAGCCCAATGGAGGATTGGAGGACTGCAAAGTATTTCTCTGTTAATACTGCTCCTGGGGGTGTGGGGAAGAAACCAAGCATTTAACACTTACAGTGCGGGACCAGTTGTTTTTTCTAAACTAAAACCTCGTTATTCAGGTTTAATTGCAGTGTTGGCACTTTCAAATAAATAAGTTGGTTTGTGCTGCAGTTTGGGCACTGAGGCTCAAAAAGGTTCGCCATCACTGTACTAGAAGGTAGTGTGGGAAAATGCATCCTCCTAGTATTTAAATATTTTTAATAGCCTTCGGGTGGCATGGAGGTAATTTACCATGTTTTAAGCATCCTTGCTCCAGTTTTGGCCACCAGAGGATGCAGGGCAGCTACCGTATTTTTCGCTTCATAAGACACACTGTACTAGAAGGTAGTGTGGGAAAATGCATCCTCCTAGTATTTAAATATTTTTAATAGCCTTCGGGTGGCATGGAGGTAATTTACCATGTTTTAAGCATCCTTGCTCCAGTTTTGGCCACCAGAGGATGCAGGGCAGCTACCGTATTTTTCGCTTCATAAGACACACCTCCATTGTCGTTTAGTTGTTTAGTCTTGTCCGACTCTTCGTGACCTCATGGACCAGAGCACGCCAGGCCCTCCTATCTTCCACTGCCTCCTGTAGTTGTGTCAATTTCATGTTGGTTGCTTCACAGACACCGTCCAGCCATCTCATCCTCTGTCGTCCCCTTCTCCTCTTGCCGTCACACTTTCCTAACATCAAGGTCTTTTCCAAGGAGTCTTCTCTTCTCATGAGATGGCCAAAGTACTGGAGC